GCTAAAATGAGTGGCTGGAGAATGTCAGTTTAGGAAAACAGGTGATAGGACCCATAGAAGGAACGCATTAATGACTTACTACCTTCTAGAGTCACTGAACCATTATTGTGCCAAAGTAGCAGAAATAAAGATTGGTTTACATTGGCTCAGATCTTGCTGAGTGATGCTAAATTAGTCAGTAATGGTGATTCTGCCTATCTCACTCTCATTTTGTGCAAATAAATTCCTGATATTCTGCCAGCCTTTCTAAGAGAGAATGGTTTGAATTATCTGATTTGCTTTGTTTGTCACACCTTATTTCTCCCATTCTGGGTATTATTTGCTTTGCCCCAAGTTTGATTGCACATATTGTTAAATGCAATACAATATTGTATTTACTATACAATATTATTGTATAACATAATTTAATATATTACTGAAGTTGAATTCAACAACTGATGATTTTATTGAAATGCCCATGACATTTTCTTGGAAATCAAATGGAAGTAGTTTCTTGTTCCTTCTTCTGGGAGGTTTACTCAACTTCTCAGTCTTCTCTACTGCCCTGATATTTTGTAATCATTCCCATCGTAATACAACAAGGACGACACCTTCTTAGGGTTTTTTAAATCAGCCAAGATCAGCTAAACGCTACCACATTATTGGGTAAATGTTGAAAGTGAAAAGACACAGAATGGTTCTCAAGGGATTAATTTTTTTCTTCCAGGGTGAATAAACCACAAATCCTGATGCTTTTTTCTTCCTTATTTGTTTTGATAGGGACACATTAACGCTGAATGTTTATCTTGAACTTCAGCACAAGACAGGTGGCATTCTTGACAAGTCATTTATATTAGAGATTAATTTTTTTACCATTTACATTTGAATGTTTCAGTCATAGACTACAATATTATATCATCTGCATAATTAAAACAGATGCCAACTTTTTAATTCCAGGCTGTGCCACTACTGTATTGGTGACAGGAGCAGGAATTGGAGAGATGGTTCTACAGTTGCTGGTAGGGTCGGTAAGTATATTAGATATCAAAATGACACTCTGCTGGATGTAAATTAACATCTAACTACCTCCCAGAAAATAAAGAGAACATTTCAACCGCTGAAGATAAAATTGAAATTTTATCCCAAGACTGTTAATAGTGTCTGCACCAACTGAATGTCAGAAAAGTATCTGAAAAGCCTTATATGGAGATGTCCCATGTGAGCGTTTTAAATAAATAAAATGCTGTAAACTATATATGGAATTTGGGGCACAAAAGCATATTATGGACCACTAATGTATCTTCTAGCATAGGTGGCAGCTTTTAGAGAGGGTGCAAAGAAAGCTAGCAAAATTCTGTAAGACATATTTCTAATATGTGGAAAGACTGGCCAGTAGTAATCGTATGTTGCAAAGTGTGCATATTTCCACTGAATTGTGATCTGCTAGTAGATTGAAGCTTAGAGCTCATGTTTAAATTGAAGAAATGGAAAAAGCATTTCTGCATGTAACCATGTTGCTTCTGAGCTTTTGGCACTTCTTGAATTGCAAGTCTTTCCATGCACATACAAACACAGAGTGGAAACACACACTAATGTCCAGCAGGTAGAAACCCTGGGGAAACAGATGGCATTTGCTACTTTCCCTGAAGGTCAGACAGTCTGGCACAAACTTCTTCTGTAGGGAAATGAAGTCCACATAACCTCAGTCAGCAATACTGGAGCACTTTAACATTAGACAATAAGCTGTGCTCATTAGTTTTTAAGACAGTATCCAAAGCTTGAAAACCTAAATTACCTTGTTTTCTTTCTGTTAGATCATTCATGATCAAGGAAGCTATAGTTTCCTGGTGTGTGGAACCATCTTTGGAGCTTTTGCCTTTACTTTCTACGTCTTCCTTCTATTTTTCCACAGGATTCACCCTCAGTCCCAATCAGGTGAGACTTCAGCTCCCCCCCCCCCCTACCAGCAGCAATTCTGAAAAGAAAGGAAGGCAGATCAGGTGGAAGAGAGTGTATGTTCCTAAAGAACAGACAGGGAAACACTCTGAATTTTATAAAAAATCAAGGAAGTGTTTATTTTACAGCTGCTTCCTTTCCCCCTTTCTGCTTGGATTGGACTGAATGCCCAAGCAACCACATAGCCCTTGACTTTCCTTAATCTTGGACAAGGAGACCATGAAAAATAAAGCTAAGAAAGAAAAGTCTACAAACACTAAATAAATAAGCAGTAGTTAGTTTTCTTTGCTATGTTTAGAGAAGATTAAAACCTCCAGCGATGTACATTTTCAAATTACAGTTGACACCATTTCCATTGAAGAACTAAGGAAGCATGGATATAAGGAATCTGAAATTATACATCAAGAACCTAAGGCCTTCCATTTCCAGGCTGCACAATCCAGCATGTCCTAATTTGAAGGATTAATAGTCCAGCATCCTATAGGAAGGCACAATTTCCCATTTCTGTAATGTAACATATTCTGACAGCATCTATTAAATGCTGTCAGAATTATTTTTAATTATTAGTATTAATTATGTTCAAGGGCACAATTTTTCAAGCCAAGTACAGAAATGAATCTTCCGACTGCTGTGCGCTTTAGGAAGGAGGTTTACCTCAGTAGTCATGAATCCACATAAACTGTCCCATTTAGAAGTCAATGGTATGCAAGACTTGGTTCTACTTTATGAGGTATCCAGTACATATATGAAGGAATAATGTATGTATGAGTTGGAGAATACACATTTTGAAGAACAGCACCTGCCAAAATTGATGTCTAGAAGTACGAGTCTTAATCCTCATCTATTGTATGTTGTAAACCAGTATAATAGTACTTCATAAATCAAGTAGGGGGGAAAGGTATGTGGTATTTTAATGAATTTTTTAAACAGCCAGTGAAAGACATTTGGTACTTTATTTTAAATGACAGCTTCAAAATCTTGTTTTGTAGATATGGATATATCACCTGACAAGCAGCCAACAATAGGGGAACACGGACTTTATCAGAGCTAAATAAAACAGCAAATTCTTACATGGATCAAGCACATGGTCATTTCAGCTGAAAGATTTGTTATCAAAGCCTGATTTGAATCTACCTGATTTTTCTACAACTGAACTCCTTGATTACAATTCATTCCCATTTATGATTAGAAGGGAATGGTCATAACAATGATTGAGGGACAATCTGCAGAATCCTAGAGGCCAAACTTTTGATATATGATCAATTAAAGTCCATTCAAAAGCTCAGTTGGGGAAAAAAGTACTACTGTCATTTTACAAACCTTGCTGACAGGAAATTGGGGGTAGGGATGGGGATATAGTAGTATTTTATATGTAGGAAGTTTTGGAAAGCACCCTTCTTAATTATGTACGCTGAAAACTCTCTAATTGCAGGAAAAATTTAAAAATCTCCACCCTTCGTGTTGTACATAGCCAGAATAAATCTGTTGTTATAAAATTGCCACCCAGCTTGAAGTATTCAAGTTTTGTCTGTCCCCAAATGGGACTTTACTATGTACTGGTAGTAAAAAGCCCTAGACGCTGTAGATAGTACAGTATATAGTTTAAGTAAAAGTGGGTTAAGTTTGATTGAATCAGTATAAGCTGGCCCTTTAACGTTAGCCTACTAAATGGTATAAGCCAGATGGGCTACTTTGTCAGAAAAGCCCAAGTTCTGAAGTATTACCAAATTTAAAGTACATGAACACAAATGTTATGTTTCTTGCAATTGTGCAATATTGTAAAATAGGTGCCTTCCAGGAAGAGAACTAGAGAAGTACTAAGTAAGTGATGGCTATTCTCATGACTGGCTCAAATGAAGGTAATGGGATAGGTAGGAATTGCAAATGCTGTCCCAGGGGGTATACATCTGTTATGTATATATGAAGGAATGTTAAATATAGTATTGTTGCATGAACTTGTGAATTGACCAAGATGGGACCCAGCAACATTACTTAAGCTATTTTTCCTAAGAGGCTTGTTGCACTTCTCATTTTAAAATTGTATATTTATACTAAATTTGTATTGCAATGTGGCTTTTGGATTGCTATGTTGCATGGGTATGCACCCTCATCTTTGATTTCCATGTTGTTTAAACCTTAAAATGCACTGTCCTTATTACAGAGCACGTGTACTCACGTTTATATATTCAGATGAGTGTAAACTTTTCTAATTGCCCATTTCTAGATTTTTAGATTTCTAGACCAGAAGGTCAATATTAATATCAATTTCATGTGTGAAAATTCTGGCATTATGCAAAGCTGAAACTGATGAAGACAGAAGCTTCTGCTGCTATAAAAGAAAGGTCTCCATACTGTTTTATCTTCAAGCTATTTTTAATATGTGAGAGTAAAAAATTAATTTTACAGGTAATATATTAAAATTAAGAATGAATTTCAGTTTTCCCACCTACTTGCTGGAGTACAGCATCCAATCGATCACTTAATAACCAAATGTAGCTCATACCAAAATACAAACCAGGATTGAAAATTTGAAAAAATTTAACCTTCAATCATCTTGTTTGCTTGATTTGCATTTATAAATCACAGTTTATTTTGATTGCAGTTTGAACCAGAGATTGTGGTTTGTAAGAGATGGTTTAGTATGTCATATAAATGCAACCAATTGTGATTTATTCTATAACCCACATTAAGCAAAATATGGATTAACATAATGTGTGAACTCAGTCTGAGTAAAACAATCTGCAACAAGTGTTTTTTGTAGAGGCAAAAAATATGAAAAAACTATTAACAATCTTTGCTTTGGAGAATCTTTATCAATTGTTTTAATATATAAAAGTATAAATGGGCAAAACATTATGAATAAAGTAATTATTCCTGTTTCAAATATGAAACGGGCTACTTGGAGCAGGCTGCATTTCAAAAGTGTTGCATCAGGAAAGCAAGTGTTCCAAATCTGAGGTACAGGAGGTCCTGAATTAGGTTGTTATCTTTAAAATTATATTTAATTAGCAAACCTGCATCAAACTGAAGTACAGACACGCTGTATCTGGATTATGCACCTGAAAACCTGATTTGTTGCTTTATTCATTGTTTTCTAGACTGCTCAATAGCCAAAGGTTTTTGGGTGGTTTATACTAAAAATACAATTTGAATAAAAATAAATAAATAAAATCAAATCAAATAACATAAAAACAAAAACACTAGTAGCTGCACAAAAATAATTCAAAGAAATAGAATTAAAGTTCAATTGAAGAGCCTTGGAAAAGAAAAACATTGTCTTTATCTGGAACTAAATGATGCAAACGGGGGTGCCAGTCCAGCTTTCTTGGGAAAAGATCCATAAATTGGTATCCACCACAGAAAAAGTTCTCTCCCTTGTAAAGACCTGTTGGAGGAGACCTAGAGAGCCTCATGGGATGACTTTAAGGCCTGGGATACATATGAGAAATAACCTGAAGTACAGACACCCATTAGGACAGGCAGGGCACCATTTGGCTGGACAGACCTGCCACCCATAAACAGGATTTCTGTCTTGTCTATACTAAGTCTCAGTTTATTGGCCATCATCTAGTCCATTTCTTGCCAACCACTAGTTTAGAACACCAAGCACCTCACCTGGTTAGATAAAAAGGAGTGGTGGAGCTGAATGTCATCTGCTTATTAATGACTGACATATGCTCATCTTACACTCTCCCAGCAGTCATATGTAGATCAGTGTTTCTCAACCTCAGGAACTTTTAAGATGTGTGGACTTCCAACTCCCAGAATTCCCTAGTCAGAGCAGAAGTTGAAATCCACACATCTTAAATTTGCTCAGGTTGAGAACCATTGATGGAGGTATTAAAAAACATAGCTGAGCTCTGAAAGGTTCAGACAGCCAACCGCCATGAGGCAGAAATCACACAGAGTCGTCGGGAGTTGAATAGCGTATACATTTAATAAATCCTTCTGGATTTCTGGAAATCCTAATGAAGTGGTCAAATAAAATGGAATCATTCTAGTACTGTGTGCTTCCCAACTCTGATAGTTCTAGGAGAATATCAATCAGTGCTATTGAAAGCCACTGAGAGGTCCAAGTCATCCTACAGGATGACTTCCTTTTCCATAATCAGGCCTGAAACCAGACTGAAATGGATCTAAAAAGTCAGTTTCACCTACTAAAGTCTGGAATTTATAAACTACCACCCACTGAAGCACTTTGCCACATTGACAAAGTAGCACAATCTACAATGAGAACTTGGCAACTGGGAGGCTGTGAAATAGATATGAAGCCTGCTCTAACTGATATATGGTATATGAAAACGAAACACTGCATTGATCAGTTATTGGAAACATAGGAAGAAAGGGATTTGGATTCAGTCATTTTAAAACCAAGGTATATAAATAGGACAAAATAATCCCAATCTAGTGAAAGGGGACTATATTCAGCCCTTGGTGCTAGATCGTTTCACACTGCAATCCAAAAGGAAACCTCAGAAGACACAGTCACCTTGCCTGGTTGGTTGCTTGCTTGCTTGCTTCCTTGTTGCTCATCAAGACCTTCAGAGCCAATTCTGAGAGGTAGGAGAGGCGCTAGTTACATTTTGATTTGGCAGTCATATGCTTATCATTGCCACAGGATATCCTTTACACTTATTTCTCTGGTCTTATTTCTTTGAGAGGGCAATCTTCACTATCCATAAAATAATCATAATCTGCAAATATCTCTGAAAACATTAAAGATATATTAAAGAGGGTTTGTTCTCTTCTTGCAAAGCAAGATTTTCAAACTGAATCCCAACAATACAGTAGTATTTTAATTTAGAAGCCTCAGATTTCAATAGGGTACTCTATGATGAATATGTGTCATTTAATTACATCCAAATTCAAGAACAGTACCATAGAAGCAGGCTATAAGATTCACTTCTGGCAAAATATTTTTAAATTGTACTGTTGTGGCATATTCTGTCTACCATGGAAGAAAATAATATTCCAAGATAATTTTTTGTTAAAAAATATTTATTTTTAAAAATACAATTGTTCTGTAAGTCTTCTTGCACATACATATTAACATGATTTACTACAACGTTTAAAACAAATCTACATTATTAGACAAAGTAAATCCCTCAATCAGTTCTTAAAGAAAATATTTAACACTTTCCCCAACTCTTGTAAAAAGAAAGAGTGCCATAACTTTTTTCTTGCAAAAAATCTAATAATAGAAAAAAAACAGACTGATTTTTCAAGGAACTTCATTATGTTAGGATGTGCAGTAACTAATATATCATTTTTTTAAGCAATTAGGCCTCCAAACTGTGCATGAGAAATGTCAGATTAACCTTGCAAAGCTCTGAATCAGATTTGGTAATTAAAATTATTATTGAAGATACATATTTTTCTCTTTTCTTATAAACACCTTAAGATTATAAAAGTCTTCCTAATGCCTTGTCTAAATATGCTTGTATTCAAGAAAATAACACTGAAAACTTACTTAGAACTTTGGCTATTCATGCAATTTTATTATATATTAACATTATTTTACACAATGGTAATATACTACATATATAAAACGTATAGGTTTTCATTTTTTTAAAGGAACAAGAAGCTACACTTCCCTAGATAAATTCACTTGAGTCTTGTGGCAAAAGGCTGAATGTCTGACAAATATTAAGAAATCCTTAATATTTCCAACCCATCCCATAGATGTACCAACATGGGTATTGCAGAATACATCCAAACCCATGAGAATTTACCTAAGGGCATAGTATGAGGGAAGAGAAGCTAGAACTGATTTTTATATCCTTTAAAGGCCCTACAAAGGCCACAGGAAGCTGTGAAGGTTTTCCACTAGGCAATTGCACTAAGAAAAAGCTCAAGAACCTGGCCTCACCCACTCTCATTCTTTCTGAACTAACCATCATAGTGGATTATCTTCTCCAAAATTAAGATAATTCCACTTTTGTCTGCAGTATATATGCTGGGCAAAAATAATCACTGAAATAGAAAAGAACAAAAACCAAGTGCTGCACATGTTTGTAAACTAAAATGGCAATTGCAGGAACATTAGCAAATACCAGAGCAAATCGAACAAAGTAGCTTTCATTCATCAACATAAGCCAGAGATTCCATAGTAGGTTTCATGATTACCAATCCCTTACAGAGAACTCCACTAATTGCAGTTGCAGTGTAGGTACTAGCCAAACAGCATTCTAGCAGAAGCATTTGTGAAGCACTTGAAGTACTTCAACAATATTTAATTGTGTCAGCTTTCATTTCTGAAAAATGCTTGTTATATCAACATATACATCAAGGCCTAGTCTAATTTCTTCAACTCCTCCACCACCTAGATTTTCCCTTGTATATTCTTACAACATGCATGAACATGTCAACTGTGAATAGAAACAATATTTAAAAAAAACCTCTTCACAACCACTATGTGTACATAAAATCATTTGGTAACTACATTAAAATACAAACATTGTTACTGGATTTAGAAGAAGAGGCTTTCTCATACATGTTTTAGCAAGTATTTTGTTATTCTAATATTTCTAGTATTTAAAATCCTGTGAAGCTGAACAGAGAGATACCAAATATCAACTAAACTTAAAGCACTACCAAAAACAAAATATTGCAGCTTAAAGGATCTATTAGCAAGTATTTTGTTATTCTAATATCTCTAGTATTTAAAATCCTGTGCAGCTGAACAGAGAGATACCAAATATCAACTAAACTTAAAGCACTACCAAAAACAAAATATTGCAGCTTAAAGGATCTATTGGAAAACTTTGTTACTTCTTCCCTAATTACACAAGGCATACTAAAGACAGTTTTTATTTAAAGACAAAAAATAAAACAAGATATGAAGACAGTTTTAAAATAAAAACTTCCAGTTATTAATGCAGTGCACAAGTAATATTAAGGAACTTGCTCCATATCAGAGTTTAAGATGGCTTTGAAATGGGATACAGTAAAATTGGGACAAGAATAACTGGGTATTCAGTTATAATTGAGGGCCACAATGAAATCTATTTATTTATATTTTACGTTTCTTTCAAGAGTCCAAAGCAGCATATCTATTGGACCTTCCTCTCAATTCCACTTCTCAACCTCATATTACCTTAAAGCTGTGTTTCTGGTCTTCCTAGTACATTGTGACTGATCGTGGACTAGTAAAATCTTTGGTGAAATCCACAGATTTTTTTTTTCTAATAATCTCTGCAAAATGATTCCAAATTAAGGCTCACACTGAAGAATGCACTAATTATACAACTTTGGAGGTTTATCATTACACAGAAATCTTATTTTGAGCCAATGTTTTTTCAACAGCGTGAAAATAAATGATACTAAACCAATTAAATAAAATATTTCATTTGCAAATGTAAAAAAGCTGCTTCAAGCAAAGATACATTCATATGGTAACAACTACGGTATTTCAACCATTCAGGTTATTTATATGACAGACCCAGTTGTATGAGTAATGCTACCCTTTAACTCATCATTAGAAAATTGGTTTAAGATACTTTTGGAGAAAATGATGATAGCTTCAAAATTATGTTTTAATAAATAGAGAAATATGACACAATGATCTATAGTATTAGAAACCTTGAATGTGCAACTCATTTTAAAAACTGCAGCCATAAAGTGCAGTACCTTTCAATCACGTTTAATAAAGCAATCTGAATATCATTACAATTGTTTAACTCTACAAAATATTGCCTTAGGTATCAATTTCTCCAAGCAATAGAATTAGCTTCATCACTCTGATTAATAACATTGCAAAACATTGTAAAAGTGATCTGAAAAGAAAACTCTTAAACAATGCTCAGCAACTACCATATCATGGCAGCAGTTCCATAGTCTGACATATGTTCAGATTTTGTCAAGATCAGTCAAGTCTTGATAGTAGCATTTTGAGCTACTTTCAGAAGCATTTTTTTTCTGGAAATAAAAAGCAAATAGCTATTCAAAGAAAAAGTCAAGATACTCTTAGCATTAGTGCAAATCCTAATTAATGAGTCTAGAGCAGGAGCGTCAATCTAATGGCCAACGGCTAGATGCCGTTGAATAGGCCATCCCAGCTCTGCGAAGGGAAAAAATGTCACGATATGTCACGTAACGGCAACGTGACATGAGTTTGACATGTGTGATCTAGAGAAGTTTTCCAACCATAGTTGCCTAGGCTGCATTGAGTGAAGACAAATTGTCTTGGACTGCATATAAAATATATAATATAATTACTGTATATAAATAACAAAGTTCCTTTATTTTTTAATATTTATTATTATCTTATGGGTTTGCCAGGGGCCACATACAACCAGCAGACTGGTCACATCACATCTGATCTAGAGCCATAAAACCAGCTTTATCACTTTTAACTTCTTCAAGATGGCTATGTTCTATAACATATTCATATTTATTAAAATCAGTGGGACTCAAGTAAACATACACCAGCTTGACTCACTCACTGATAATTACTGATAGTTAATGCCAGTTTTTATTTTGAAAAAGTACTCTAGCCCTTAAGACCTATACCTCACTTTTTTCCAGTACCATGAGTATTATCCTAATGCTTCTTTCTAAACAAAAATTTGGAAATATCAACAAGCTTAAGGAAGTATTTGGTTATTAAATTAAAATGTCACTGATTTACATTCACAAAACATTAGCATGACAGCAAAGGAGAATTAAAAGTTCTTTGGCATTTCCTCACATTAATATTTACTTTAGGACCTCTCACAATCTGTTTTCATACCAGTTACGAGGTGGAGAAGGGATATTTCACAAATGTAGTTTGTGAAAGATAAAATTTTCACTGCTTACATTAATTCTTGAAAAGTAATATCCAATTTAGTATTCCCTTTAAAAACATAGAGCTCTAACAAGTATAATCTGGACAGGCTATTGAGATCTTTTGAATGAATTATTGTTTATATGTGATTACATATAAAAATGCAATAGAAGAGTAGCAAAAATTTTATATAATGAATTATTTAGGAGTCTCAACATTTGTCCAAACGCTAACTGATTAGGTAAAAACCTATGAATATCAATTCATGCTAACATATAAAATAATATTGTAAAGATAAATGTAGAGATCATTGTTTTCTCTAATTATCAGGTAAAGAAAATACAGCATTAAGAAAAGTTAATAAAGTACCAGATATTTCTTAATCAGTAATCATATCTAAGTAAGATATCATCTGACTAATGTGTTTGTTAACATGATCTAGAAGCTGAAAACATGAAAATGTTTATTATCTAACACAATTAAAGAAATCATACATGAAAAGCAAAATAAAATCTAGATCTGGAAATTAAAATATTCTATATTATCTGGGGTGTAAAATGGAGGTTAACCCTTTACTCTCTCTCTACCTGCATTTCCTCCATCCTCGATAGTCAGAGTAGAGTTTTCACATTTACTAAATGTAGTAAAATAGCAATGAAGTATCTAGGTGAACAGTTGCAATAGAACAAAAAATTTATACAAAATGTAAGCATATGAAATTAAAAAAAGAAAATAGCAGGTCTACTGGAAGTAGACCAGTATAAAGTATCTCTCTAAATAAATCACAGAAAAGTTTGCAAATGGGAATGTGGTGGGTTTTTTTTTTTTTTTAATATAGAGGGAAGCTTCTCTAGGTAATGCAGCTATGTATTGGCTAAAGGCTGTTATCTTCCATACCAAATATAGTAGTCACCTCCCGTTCTGGCTCCCAAAGCTCATTCTTAAATAAAAAATAATTTATTGATGATGAAGCAAGAAGAGAGAAATTCAAAATTTCTCTACACCTAAATCTCCCGTAAAATAAAAAGACAGTTCTGTTAAGTCACTAAAAACGGAAACGCTATACCTAGATCTTAGCATAAGAAGGGCAGTGGTTTATAGCAGAACATTTTTTTCTGAGAACATTGGGACTAGCTTGTGAAACTAGGATAAACAAACTACTTTCAGGAGGATCTAAGTTTTGGTTCACTTGCAAACCTAAATACATGTATTATTACCAGTTGCTCCTTGTACGACATAGGAAAGCACAATGCTGGAAAAGGGAGACTCCCAAGGAAAGCAGAAGCCATTCAGGCCAGTGTTTCTCAACCTTGGCAACTTTCAAATGTGTGGACGTCAACCCCAAGAATTTCCCAACCAATGCTGGCTGAGAAAGTCTAGGTGTTGAAGCATCCATGCAAATGGTTCAGTCCATCAGATATTATTTTTTTAACATTTAATTGGAATCTGCCAGTCCTTTCTAAGAATGCAAGTTATCTACTTTTTTGTTTATTTTTACTTACGCATTTTGAAGCTGAAGCTTAAATATTTTGGCCACCAAATGAGAAGCGAGGACTCATTGGAAAAGCCCCTGATGTTGGGAAAGATTGAAGGCAAAGGGGGAAGGAATCAGCAGAGAATAAGATAGTTAGATAGTGCCAGCAACACACTGAGTGTAATTTTGGAAGGACTCCAGGAGATAGTGGAGGACAGGAGACCTGGCTGCTGTGGTCCATGGGGTCACAAGGAGTCAGACACAACTTAGCAACAACAAATCCCACCTTTATAATTTTTACGAAGAAGCAACAAACCTTGAAGTAAGTTGGCCTGAGAGAGAGAGAGACTGACTGGCCCAAGATCACCCAATTGGTTTTAATAGATAAGGTGACACATCTTCTTTCTAGATTTCTAACCACTAAACCAAACTGACTCTCTCTTGCTACCTGCCATCAATGATTTGCATGTCTATACTGAAATAGATCACCATATACTCAATTAGGTACAAGAAGAGATAGGAGTGGGCCTTTTGAATCCCTGCCTGGTCAAGGGCACCAAATACAGTTTAATGCAGACAAATCAGCAAATGTCTCCTACTTTAGTCTGTTATGTTACCCTGAGGCACTACTGCATACCAATCAACTTCTGAGGCCTGTTCAGAATAAGTATATGAATCAAAACCCACAGGTTGATCGCCCTTTTCAAACCAAGCCCACCTCGACAAAGAAAAAAGGATTATAATGCTTTACTGATATCTACTTCAACTTTCTAACAAGCTATTGAAGCGACAAGATTTAGAGTGTTTTCTGAAATATAGCAAAGCCTGAATATAAATATTATGTAGAAAGAGTGAATCTTCTTTAAATTCAACTGAGGGATAACTACTATTAGTGGTGTTAGATCTATCCATTTTACTTTCACTTTCTAGGCCCCCAAATAAGCCTCCCACTTTAGCAAGTCATCATTATGTTACCATATGTTTGCAAAGAAGTCTCAACTACCATCATGCTAAAGTTGTTATCCAATAAATATCTTCCCACAAGATTAAGTACAGGCTAAAACCTCATTTTACTCCTTTTAGATTTCAAACAGCATGTGCCACTTTGTGCTTTCCCCCTCTAGTTTCAAACATTTAATCAAAATACTTTCTAATAATGGCACACTTCTAATTTTAAAGGCTTGAATATTCAAAACTTCAATCTACTTATATTTCAAAGAACACCTAGATATGCAGGTGGCCAAGAGAAGGTATGTCTCTTTCCCTCTTAAAGAGGGAGAAAGAACAAACAATAAATGTTCACTCCCCAAATGTCACACTTACATACAATATTAACAAGAAGCAAGACAAAAATAACCCACTGCATGTCAAATAAATGCTTATTAATTCAGTGCCACCATAAATCCACTGCCAGTTTCTTTAATTAGTTCAATCTGCTAAATTGTTTATTAAACAACAAGGGATTTGCTTTTATTTTTCCTGACTTGGCTTATCAAATATTAACACCTTTAAATATTTTGGGAAGATGAAAGCAATTCAATCCATGATCTATGTAGAACTATGCCATTCAAGCATACATAATACCATACTACCATACTATTATGTGAGGATGAAATGACAATTTTTGCCAAAGAAAAAAGAGCTTTCTTATCCATAGCAACCATTCTTAAAATTTTTGCTCAACTCTACACTACTATAAGTTGCAATGCTAAAACCTTTTAAGGTCATTGGAATTCACTGTAAAAAATAAATCTTCTTATTCACTTTCCAAGTATTTCTTGGAATGCCAGCTTCCATGAAATCATATTTTAACATAAAAAACAAAAAGCAAAGGAATGGAAGGATATCAGTCAAAAACCATCTGATATCAGTTGGCTGTTCTCTCCAATACCTCATTATAATACAAAAATGTGTTCTTTGTTAAAAGAAGCCTTCTTCATTCAAAAGAAGCAGTAAGGGGAGATAGAAACTCTGGAGAAGAATCTCCACAATTAAGGCACTTCCTTATGAATTCTCATATGTCTTAAAGAGAATTTTGCAAAGGCATCTAAACTGGGAATAGCAAAAACCAAGTAAATTGTCTCTATGGAATTAAAAACTGTGTTTTAAAACCTGGATTGCACCATTTTTAATAAAACCTCTTCTCTTTTTAGTCCAAGCTGTCCATTTTCAAAAAGGCTGTATGTTAAGTCTTCTGCAAATCTGGGGAGAAAGGGCCAGGAGTGAAAGGCCCATCCATTCCCGACAGAGTAAATGGTCCATGAGTATTCAGCACTGATGGAAACTATAAAACAAAAACAGAAATTAATGTTACAGTTGTCTATAAGGTAATATCTGTATTTTCAGTTAGCTTTTCCATTGGTTTGCTTTTGTCATCAGCAAAACACCCACAGGCTTCAGTTTCTTCAGCTTAAGACAAAGTAACAATTTCATATTCATACTCTCTTCAAGAGGGAAGTCTACCCAGCCATTTATTCAAATGAAATTCATCAAAATGGCTTCAAAAGACAAGCACTCAAGTTACCAAGTCATTTCTTCTAGCATGATACAGTAAAATCCTAAAATACAAGGACCTTTATAGTTATTGATTTTTTCACTTTGGTTATTTTTTTCAAAAATATTGAATTCCCTTAAATCTCTCAAATCAAGCAAAAAACTCACAAACCTCCAGGTAGTATCCTGTTCCAAGAGCCCGATTCTAGGATAATGATGTTACCAAATGGTTTCATAGGACTAATTACCAGGTTGGATGTGACCAAGATGCAGTACTGTGTAATTTTATTGCATAGTAAAGCATCACACAATCTTATTTATCAACTAGAAGGTGTTTGAGCTTTACAAACTCCCCACAGGGGTGATCAGCCTAGGTCGTCATTTTACTCAGTTCATGCTGTCCTTGTAGCTATTTCACGAACAGGAAAGTTCCTATGGCAGCCATTTTCTTGACTATACCTACTACATCTCGAGTCCCTTCCCCAAGGCAGTAGCTATCCCTAATCAACATGGAGCCCCTGATACAGATAAGCACATTTATTTTAAATCTTAAAAAGAGGAAGAAAAGCACAAATAAGCTCAACAATGACACCTATCTCTATTACGATAATGTTTTCCATAGTAAGAGGCCAACCTTCTTATAACACTGAAAAATTAAATATAACACTGTTCCTTATATGTGTAAAGATTAGAAAGTCCTCAATGCAGAGTCAGGGTCACCATCTACATTTGGAGGGTGAAGCTTTGGCTGAGATAGTTGCTCTGCATCTTCTTTTTTGTTCTTCAAATATAACAAGCTTTGAGCTTTGAACCCATAGGATTCTACAATGTAGATTAAATTAGTAATTGAATGGGGCATCTGCTGAAAAATTCATAAGTGTTAGCAAGACTAACTTTTAAAAAACATATTGAAAGGCAACATCTGTTTACATTTGTTTTGACACAGTGATCAGAAGAGTGGGTTCAATTCAAGGCATTGAATTCAAGCTTTTGTTTTAACTGTAGTCTCACTTAGTCTATAGACTAATTCCTTTACCTATCACAGAATAAGGTATTGAATTGAATTGAATTTATTATATTTCTATGCCGCCCTTTTCCCAGAAGGGACTCAGGGCGGCTCACAACCCAAGTCAGAGGGGGATAGGGGATACAAATAGGGGGAAAAAAGACATGGACAAACAATACCAAAATTTAAAAACAATCAACAGCCACACCATTCGAGCGGGGACAAGAACTCATCAGCCCCAGGCCTGTCGGAACAGCCAGGTTTTAAGGGCTTTGCGGAAAGCCTGGAGGGTGGTGAGGGTCCGAATCTCCACGGGGAGCTCGTTCCAGAGGGCCGGAGCAGCAGGTATTATTTT